TATTTTTAATACGAAAGTTGAGGTTTCTACTACTTGTTAATTTTATGTGTTGGTGCACATGCAAGGAATGTTGTTTTAACAATCAGATTTCTGTTCCCCATGTAAAAATAATCTTACCATTTAACCATTTTTGCCAATATTGCATTGTGATAAAGCGAAACTAATTATTTCTCGTTTATGCAACATTATGCGATTGTTATTCTTTGGTGATGGTCGTTCATAACAAATATGCGAGTTCAATGCAAAGAAAATAAAATTTTTGAGAAGGCTTGATTGGGTAATGAAAACTTTAATATAAGTGCACGACGATTCGACAAAACCCAGTCAATCCGTGTCAAAACTTTATTAAAAGTGGATTCCTCGTTATCAAGTTATAATTCAAAGAAAGCACGACCAGTCATAAGCTAGTAAGAATGTGATATTTATACATACTGTAAGTATATGTGCTGTATAATATTTTCACTTCCTAAGTTCGTAATTAATATAGATGGACAAGCTGTCAAACAAGTGACAAGGTTGTCATATTTTGGAAGTGTATTAATTGCAACTGGCGACGCGAGGAAGATGTAAAGACAAGGATAATAACACAAAGTGATGGGGCATGTGATAAAACAAGATAACTTAGCAAATTTGTACATTACTGGTAAAATTAAGGACAAGAGATCGATGTGAAGACAAAGAAGTATCTGGACAACATCTTGAGATAGTTGACTCACAATGACAAACGCATGTTTCGAGAAATAAGAGATAGGATAAGATCGAGATCTGAGACTGTCCACCCCGGATTGTGAATGACAATATTGTTACAACAGCGGAAGTCACGTGACGCTAGTAACACGTCATGAACTTCTAGAACGTTCACGTCCCTTCCTGAAGTCTCGAGAGGCTACTAGATATGCGGTAGTATTGTATATATATAAGCCGCCAAGAATTGACGGCAACTATGTAATAGAATTGCAGACAGACAGAGAGGACAATTGGGTCAAGCACGGTAGCAAATAAGTGCGTGAATTATAACGTGTTTTTATAAAATTAGTTAAGTTAAATTGGCTGTGGAAATTAAGTGTATTGGAAAGTTGAACTGAGAAAGAATAAACTAGTTTTATTTAAGGAAGGACTTGTGTCGCTAAAGTTTCATTGGAAAGAAATTATACGGGAAATTAACTAACGAACAGAGGCGTAACAATATGATGATTACTAAGTTTGGAATTTTAGAAAATAATGAATATAACGACAGTCAACAATCCTAGAATTAATATGTACTAACTGCTTTGTTGAAACACAAAATAAAATAACAAAATTATTTTATGGTATTCGTTAAACGAAAACTCTGAAATAAGAATAGAAATAATTAAGAATACTTGTTTATCAGATAAACATTTAAACACTACTAAGTAACCAAAATAGTTTATATTAGGTCGCCAAGAAATTAATGCCGATTTTTTTTAGATGAAAAAATCCAAACAACTTGTATATCAAAACAAAACTTATTAAATGAAATAGTCTCCACTCTTATCAACAATGCTTTTTCATCTTACAATCAGATTGTTAATGCCCTGATTAAAGAAATCACTTGGCTTTGAAGCAAACAACATGTCGATATCCTCTTTAACACCTCCCACATTTGCATACGTTAATAAGATGGTGTTGCAGCGAACGAAAAAGATGGTAATCTGATGGTGCCATATCTGGAGAATGTGGTGGGTGGGGGAGAACTTCCCAACCCAACTTCATAATCTTCTGTTGTGTCAGACGCATCACATGTGGACGTGCATTGTCGTGAGGAAGAAATACACCTTTCCGGTTACAATTCTGTCCAAAAATGGGTCACGCGCATTACGTGCCAGAAGAGATGAATCACCGTTCACACGTTGGAAACGATGATCATCGGAGAGTTCGTGAAGCACCCAAACACCTTCTTTGTGAAGTTTTCCCATATTCTTTAGATGTTTACATATTGTTTCATGAGAGACATGCAATTTCAGGGCCCTTTCACGAGTGGGTTGCCTTAGATTAGATTCAACAAGTGTCTTCAGAGCATCAATATAAATTTCAACATGTCGGCCCCTGCCATCACAGTTCTTAAGGTTAAAGTCACCTGAATGAAATTTGCTGAACCAACGTTCAAAACATTTCCATAAACTTCTTTGATGTTCTTTGTGGCTACAGAGGCGTTGTTTCCCTTCTTGTATTCAAACAGCGTTACATGCCGAATGTGTGTCTCGTCGTATGCCATCACTGTAAGGGATTAGAGTATACTAAACCTTACGCATTATATAGGCTACACTAACGTGACGTTTAGGCGATTCGTTTTACTATCATACGTGATGTACGTTTTTTTTGGGGTGGGGGGGGTGTTAATGAAAACGCGACATTAATTTCTTGACGACCTAATATTTTCACTATTCACAAGTTTATAACATTTTCATGTAATAATTTGCACCTCTAACGAAATTACCATTTTATAACAATTCTTTTTACAAAGGATGCATCATATTTAGAATCTAAAATAAAAAAGAAATACACTCTTCTGTCAGTGACACGCCGGTGCTACCCAACGAATGCTTAATAAATGATAAGCTAGTACAAACATGCCAGCTGCAAACTTCGATTATTTTATACTCTAACGGTAAACTTACCATTTTTCTTTGAAAAACATCACTATTGATCCTGTCCAACATAATTCCTGAAATTATATTTTTCAGTCTTAGTAACAGATTAAACAGCAGTTGTGCAATAGGTTAAAAACAAAATCCACCCGCATACTATCTCAAGCACAAAATTATTCTACTTTCAATAAATACAGCTACGCTTCTGCCCCCTATTGCTTAAAAAAATGACTAAAAAAAGCGCAGCTGTTTCGACATATAAATTTATAACATGTACAACTGACCCATTTTTTGTTATTCGATGAAAAAAACTTTACCCAACAACTGAATTACCGGGGGTGTATAGACCCCCCCCCCCCTCTCAGCTGCTGCATTGTTCTGCAATTGAAGGATTGAGTTTCTTCATCTCTCTTCTGAATACACATGGAAACAAACATATTAAATTTGCATACTTCCACACCTAAAATATTTTTTTTTATTCGAGACCAGATTGTTCCTTTAAGCAAAACATACACTATCCCTGTAACACTTAACTTCAAAATAAAACTGTGCTGTATCTTTAACAAAAAATGGACAAAACCTATATCATAAAAAAGTTAATTGATAAATAGACGTTTTAATGTCCAATTCTTTCTTCTCGTGATTTTAAGAGGAAAGACGTCCTAGCCCTAAACGTTGTGAAAAATTAAAACATGTATTTATCACTTGCGTTTTTTGTAGTTTTAGTTTCTTCCTTTTTTGTTTTCGATTTAATTGTGTCAAAGAGGTATTTGAATGAACTTTCATCTATGTTGCATCTTTGTTTAGTTGTAAAACTTTGCTACTTTTTGGAGGGTCTACAAAATATAATTAAATATATACATATTGAAGCTTATTGAAATTGATTTTCTTTTTTTCAGTATGTGCTGTGAATTTGACCTACTTATTAACTTCTAACAACGTGTTTATTTTATGTTCTCGTTCTAGGGCCCCTTTTTATTCGTGTTTGATTAATTCTCCCGAGTTCACTCAGGTGACACCATGAAATAATCATGTTTCTCATGGGTTTGATTCAAAAATTTACAAATTCAAAGTAGACTAGACGTAGGTTAGGGTTTCATATAACTATTAGTAGTATCGTATTTCCATTTACATTATGGTAACATGAGACGTTAGTTTACATATATGGCTGAGTCACAGAAATTCGATGACGAGGAACCCACTTTGAGACTAATAATGGTTGGACACGGCTTGAATGGGTAATG